GTCCAGTGATCGGTTTGTGTGTTCCGCCATCTGGCAGCACCGCTATTACTGCGGTGGCAAGTCGTAGTGGCTGTGAAATCCAAAAGGTCATTCAGCAGCACTTACCGTTGTTCTGAAGGTATTTCCAGAATCCTCAAAGACTCTTCTGGCTGGATGAAAAAAATATTCTGTAAGCTGCATGATAAAAACAATAGTTCATGTCTCTTGCAAGTACTCCAACATTATAAACGTGTAATACTAAATTTGTTGGAACAGCCCTTTAAATTTTAATCATCATTAAATATCAGATTTCATTAGTCTCAGTTCAAAAACATCTTTAAAATTGTGTTGCCTAAACCAATATAAAAACAAGCACATTAGTGTACGCGCACAAACAAACAAGCACACACACACACACACACACACACACACACACACACACACACACACACACACACACACACACACACACACACAGATTCTTAATGCCAGGCCAAGAAGCTAGATGCACTGTGTATCCAAGGCAACCTAAATTAGTCTCAGCAGGTGTGTGGGCATTATGTCTCTTGCTGAGGAGAGTGAGGAGAGAGCGAGCAAGTGGGCAAGCAAGAATGAAAAGAATAGAGCCTGAGCTGGGAGAGAGGTGAGAGTGTAAGGAAAGAAACATGTGGAAAGGAGGAGTGGAGGGCAGCAGATAAGGCCTGAGAGGGAGAGGAGAAAATGAGAGCTAAAGTCAGAGGCTGAATGTGATTAGCAGAAAGCTGAAGAAGAAGGAGGAGAAGGAGGAGAAGGAGGAGAGAGGGAGCAAGGGATGATTGGATCACGGAGGGGAGGGATGAAAGGGGAGAGTGGTGCAGAGGGGTGAGTCAGAAGGCAATGAGAGTGATTGGGAACGAGCATGCTGCTTATTGCATGCCATGAAGAATAAAGTCAGCAACCAGTCTGCAGGATCCCTGTGTGTGTGTGTGTGTGTGTGTGTGTGTGTGTGTGTGTGTGTGTGTGTGTGTGTGTGTGTGTGTGTCTGTGTGTGTGTCTGTGTGTGTGTCTGTGTGTGTGTGTGTGTGTGTGTGTCTGTGTCTGTGTCTGTGTCTGTGTGTGTGTGTGTGTGTGTGTGTGTGTGTGTGTGTGCACTGCAGAAAAAGCTATTAAGCAATAACAGCACAGACAGAGCTAACTAAATTACATCTCCAAAAAGACAAGATTACACTTGCTGCTAGACACACACACATGCACACATTCACACATGCACACATGAACACATGCACACACACACCATGCTTAGCAGTACAAAGAAATCATGTCTGCACACATGCATGCTCTCAGACACAAACACACACAATAACACTCATTTACATTGACTAGTGTCTGGATGACAGAAGGGGTCCAAGAACACAGACGGCCCGTGGGTGAGATGACGCACAAGCGCGCGCACACACACATACACACACACACACACACACACACACACACATGCTCAAACACATAAAGCTAAATATACACATGTACGAAGCCTGTTTCTCAGAATTGTCACATAACTGTCTTCAGAGTGACAGAAAGCAAAGGCGAATCAATGAGTGTGTGGATGTGTTTGTCACAGCTTTTGCCTGCATGTGTGTGTGAGACGGCTCCTGAAGGTGTTGATTGATGAATGTGTGTGTGAATGTATGTGTGTCGGCGTGGTAGTTTGTGTATATGTTTTTTGCTTTCCATCCCTGCAGCATTTGTCATTCACCTCCTGCCCTTTCTCTCTCTCTTCTCCACCCTCTGTCACTCAAACAGAGGTGTCAGTCTTGCCTCAACTTTGAAAGTGTATTTGTTAAAACATAATGTTTATGGTGCTCCATGATAACACTTTTAAACACTTAAATACTCAAGATTCTGTTAATACCTATCCTAATTTACCAGCAAATATTGTCACGGGCTAGAGAACACCTGGCTCCCCATTACATTTAAAAGCTTTTTTCCATGTGTTCATTAACTACTATACTAACCTGGATAAAACAAATATCTGGAACATGTGTAATGTGATGCAGATCTAGATTGAATTTTAAAAGAATTAAAATCGTGCAGCCTTCCATTTCACACCTGTTCAGTTTTAGTTGCTTAAGTTTTGTTCCAACTACACCTAATGTTATGAGATTCTGTCGTTGGTCTGCTTTGCTTTCACAAAGCCACCACTTGGAAGCGGACCCTGGCTGTTTGGTTCAATTAACAGCCTTCACACCTGCCTAAATGAATGCCAGGTGTAAAGGTGTAAAAGTACTCCAACTTCTGCTTAGCTTTCTGAAATAGTAAAAGTCATGGATAACTTCTTTTGGTGGTGTGTTCAGCCAGTGTTATTCACCAGTATTACCAAGTATAGAAGGAAACAGGATGATGTCCGTTTTACTGCGGGATAGGACAGTAAGTGTAGTGGTATAACTGATCATCTATTTATGTGTGTGGAGAGAAACTAAGTCAAAGAAAGAAATATGTATCTAGAAACACAGTTACCGTACTGAGAACACTGGATTCAGCACACACATAGGACAGAAAATAAAAATAATAAAAATAAATATAGTCTGAGTGTTACATAGACATTGGTTCTATATGCTGGAGATTACAGGAGAAACTGGGAGGAAGAAACAAAAAGGGTGGGTGTGTGTGTGTGTTGTGAGTGTCATGAGTGTGAGGGGCACCCCACTGCTCCCGAGTGTCATTTTCCTGCAGAGGAGAAAAGGGAAACGAGGACAGGCCTGGAAGAGGGGCGGAGAGGAGGGAAGAGAGGGAGAGGAGAGAAATGTGGTGTGAACAAGAGGCATTATGAATTATTGTGTGTGCGTGCACATCCTAATGAGTCACCATCAAACTAATGTTTTATTCCAGCAATTAGTCACAATTAGTAACTGTGTATGCATGTCTCGCACAGACTGGTGTACAGTATATTAGTCGTGAGTTTCCTGTTCTTGCAGGTGAGTATAGCAGAACGGATCTCTGCTTCATTCACTGGTTTGTGTGTGTATGTGTTTTGTGTTTTGCTTTGTAGTGCCTCCATTTGCTGTGACTTGTGTGATGTGCTTTTAATATACATGGGTCAGTGTAGTAGAGCAGTGCAGTCTGTTTTGTCGTCAGCTTTTTGCCCCATTACATTGTAGGTCATATAGTCTTAACACAAGATGACGACACAGTCTGTCACTTTCTGTCATAACATTAGTGTTTTGTTATAACCTCTGTTGGACATAGTTGGCACTGGTAAAAGTAACAAACTGTATTTTGTTTCTGAGGTCATATATCTGTCCTGGCATTTGGCTTCAAAAACTCAAAAGTAGCTGGCTTTCCATCCCGGCATTCTGACTGCAACCTCATCTCAACAATTCTTGTGATTCCACCAGAAGTGGAGAAAAATGCCATCAGTTTTCAAAATAATATACCATGTGCAGACTCTGGAACGAATTTCACGCTACATCAATATATATATATATATAATATACAAAATAACAACAATAAACACAGTAAAAACAGACAAAAAAGACAATATTTAACTACGTTGCCTACTTACCGATGGTAGAAGAACTAATATCAAGGACAAAATACGCAAGTGAAGAACGTCAGGCAGGCAACTCTGAACGACTGAGTCAAACTGTGTTGCAGACTTGACATCATAAAGCCATAAATGTAAGCATTAATTAATAATAGGATTTTAAAATGTCCTTTTTATAGGCTAAAACGATATGAAAATGACACATACTTTTTTTGATGAATATCAATTGAAATGCATTTCCTTAATGTAATAATAATAAGCGAGTATTGATATTTAAAGGGCCAAGTTAACTTAATTACAAAAAACCTTTTATCACTTATGAGGAGTATCTATCCTTGTTTTGGTTTCATTTATCCCTTGTGAATGTTATTTTATTCGTGGTGCTCACAACTTTAAAAAAGGTAAAAAAAAACTAAATTTGCAACATATGTCTTTTATAACATCCCAGTTAGTCTGCGTAATCCACATACAATGTCCCATTGAAGAAATTATTTTAATGAATTTAATAAATATTAATGAAAACTGTTGACAGTGTGAAACCTGGTAAAACAAAACACCAAAAAAAACAACAACAATGCAACATCTGCATAGTTAGATTCCACTTGAGGTAATTTTGGTGAATTGACCCTTTAACTAAAGTTGTGAAACCACAACCTTTCCAAAAAGAATTTGCTATGAAGCTTACAGTTCTCATAGTTTCCTAGAAAGAAACTGTGACTTTAAATTCATAGGAAGGTTCCCAGAAGGACAGTATCATTTGGTTCTAATTATAGGTCACATGGAGACAGTGTTTAATTGGTACGCTATCAATTAATTGCAACCATAGCCCGGTCTTTTATCTTCAGTTGACACACCAGGTCAGCTGAACATATAAAAATGTCACGTTTGTCTGTAGGCGAGCATACAATTAGTCCATTAGTGGAAAGTGCTCTAAGAAACAACCATCTCAGAGCTTTGTCTCTGTTTTCCTTGTAATTTGGATCAGACATAGATCTTTCCAGGAACCTTGCAGGAAATTATTAAGAAATTACTGATCTGTACAAGCTGTTGCCAAGCTCCTTCATTCTCTACGGTGTCTATGTTTTCGATGTCTGTGGGTGGTGTATATGTGTGTGCGCACTTTACATCGATCAACCCATCACGTATTAGACATCACTGATTACATTTTTTGGGGAAATTATAGATTTCACAATTTTCAAAATTGCATTGACTCACCTGTGGGGAGTTACTGCTACTGCTCATCCAAACAAAGTGGAATGGTATTTAGGATAAAAAGGATTATTTAAAAGGCAATATGTTTACTGCTGCCTCAGTATTTCAAAAAGCTGTTGGATGGAGACACAGCAACTGTTATTGGCCAGTGTTGCCATAAAAAAAAAACTGGCTATTGGATTAAAAGATGCATTTTCCAAACCTCAGTGCCAATTTCTGGGTAATGTAGTTTAAATGTATGTTTTTGTAGTCCCTAACATGTTATGTTGTGTTCCTGCCATCCCTGTAGTCTGCACGGTTCGCTGTCAGAAGTTCCTGATCTCGCGGGTCGGGGAGGACTGGATCTTCCTCATCCTGCTGGGACTCCTCATGGCCCTGGTCAGCTGGGTGGTGGACTTCTGCATCGCCATCTGTCTACAAGGTGAGGGAGGGAGGGAGCAGTGGAGGGGAGGGATGGAGGGATTGGACTTTGCATCTACAGGTTAGGGCATGAAGAGTGTCGGCAAACGTGGAGGACAGGTGATTTCAGAGGTAAAGCATAGAAACAAGGAGAGGAAGTGTTATTTATGGTAGAAGATAGGATGCACAGGTGGGATGATCCAGATATGGACGAAAAATATGCTGGGGTCATTTATTAAGTGCCTTTAAGGACAGTGTGTAAGATTTAGTGATGTCCAGCTGTGAAGTTGCAGATTGCAAATTACTGAATAGAGCTCAGCCTTCCAAACATGCAGGAAAAACTTCTTGGAAAAATGTGAAAGGCTCTATCTAGAGCCAGTGTTGGTTTGTCTGTTCTGGGCTACCTTAGAAACATGGTGGTTCAACATGGCTGCAGATAAAAAAGGCTCATACTAAGGTAACAAACACACAATTCTTATTTTCAGTTGATTATACAGTAATGAAAACCTATGAATAATATATTCTGATCCTGCCAATAAATCCTCCTAAATGTTACACACTGGACCTTTAACAGAAAGTAGGTTTCTTTCATTCGTTATTGTAGTCTCTCATGTGCAAAATAAAACCAAGAGAGAAGATCATATAAGGCATACATATACGGTCTTCAGTTTTACTTACTTTTATGCACACATACACCATACAGCTTATGAACGGTACGGTGACAAAACAATTGAGGGAGCACAACAGGTCCCGGCAGTGCACCCTACAGAAGGGCCTCAGCTTCTGGCCAAGCACACAAACAAACTCTTTAAACTACCTTTTGTGAATGTGTCATGCTTGGACCTAGATATATTTGCTTTGGAATCAAGTTTTATACAAGTCTGTCTCTGCCTGGTCAGAACTGTTTGACTTCTGATGCTGCAGCTCTCTCTGATTTATTTCATTCAGCTGGAGAAAAAGTTGATATCTAAAATGTTTTATAAGGCTTTATCGAGACATCTGCCAAACATTGCAATTCAACCTGGATATTTTTGAATGTGCTTGAATGCAGGTTGAATTCAGGGTTGAGCTCTGGGGACAACCTTCACAGATTAGGGCAGAGGATATCAATGTGTTGCCTGTGGTGACTGAAAAGTCTTATACGGGTAGAAGCAAAGAGGGATAGTAGGCACAAAGGGCAGAAGAAGTGTGTGTTTGAAAGAGGAAATCAAGATAGTTGTGGAAGGGAGACAAACAGGAAGCAGAAAGCAAGGGATTGAAGACAGAAAGAAGTAGTCGAAGTGGATCAAAGCCTGGCAGGAGGGATGGATGGAGGGCCTCTTATGGCATCAATCATCTACCTGCAAGGTGCATGCAGGAAACTGGGGGAGGTGAACAAGGGATTTGTCAGTCCACATTCCTGGAAGAGGAAGGCAGACGTCTTAAAAGCGAAGTTGTGAGAGCAGATCTGAAACCTTACAGGATCAGCTCTAATTCAAATGGATTTCTCAGGCTGTGTGTGTGTGTGTGTGTGTGTGTGTGTGTGTGTGTGTGTGTGTGTGTGTGTGTGTGTGTGTGTGTGTGTGTGTGTGTGTGTGTGTGTGTGTGTGTGTGTGTGTGTGTGTGTGTGTGTTGTGCTCTCAAGGAGAAGCTAACCTAGTCTTTCAGTTCCAGTTATGGTGTACAGTTCTTTTAATTGGATCTAAAACATGACTAACCACCTATCCTGAGGACACACACACACAAACACACACACACACAACTACACAAATGTTTCCTGTCTTTAAGTGGTTTATATGACAGCTCTCCAGGATGTACATTTATTCCTCTGTGTGTGTGTGTGTGTGTGTGTGTGTGTGTGTGTGTGTGTGTGTGTGTGTGTGTGTGTGTGTGTGTCTGTGTGTGTGTCCACAGCACAGAAGTGGATGTACGGTGGTCTGGACAGTAACGTGTTCCTGCAGTATCTGGCCTGGGTCACTTACCCTGTGGTCCTCATCACCTTCTCGGCCGGCTTCACCCAGATTCTCGCCCCACAGGCTGTCGGTACGTCCAACGCACACAAAACAGAATATACACGCACATATAGATAAACCACACATACAACACTAAAGATAGAATCACATGAAAGAACGCTGTATTTATTGTGTGTTTATTGTACCGAACAATAAGTTGATTAAATATTTCACAAATTTAAACATTCGCACATATTTGCTGATTCTAGCTTCTCAGATATGATGACCTATTGTTTTTCCGTTTTATATCATTGTAAATTGAATATTTTGGGTTTGTTGTTCAGACAAAACAATTTAAAGAAGTCACATTTTCAGTATCCACATATTTTGTAGAATATGCAATTAACTGAGTAACAGAAAAATAATTCGTAGATTGGTCTATATCGAAAATAATGGTTAGTTTCAGTCCTTTATTATGGTAGATACACTCGAAACAAGACCAACAAATATCCCTTTCTATGTACAGTATTCAGACTTGATAAGTAGATTTAATGCTGAATTTATATATGAAATGCTACCAAACTGCAACCCTATAGTTTATATGTTACTGTATAAACTGTATAACGGAGGTTTTTACCATATTGGCATTCGAGGGGAATTAAACCTGGGTTTACAAGAACAAGAAATAGTAGGGTAAACACCCTAATTAAGGCTCTGTTCCATTTAGTGTGGCAGAGCCTTTCCAGTGAGCCAACATGCACAGTAGCAGCACCCTGACTCTGTTTGACCTAAATGGAACAGAACCTTAATTAGTATCACTGGTAACACCTGTAATTACCCTCTGTCATGTCATAATGGCTGCTGTGAAAAAGGTCTGTTGTAATGAACTTCTAAACGCCTGTGTGTTAATGCCTAGTTGCTGTGTAACACTACTGTGACACTAATTGTCCTCGGCCCCTAAAGGCTCTGCCTATCCCCCAGGGGGCTTCAGGAGCACCCAAGGGAAAGAGAGAAATCCTACACAAGTTCTCTGCAACAAATTCACACCAGTAGCATACCCTGAAATTCAGCTTAGGTTTGTCTCAACTGTCTGTGCAGCGCTCCATCAGGTGCCTGGAGGCATTTCTGCTGCAGGTATAGCAGAGACCTTACTGTCACTCTAAGTAACAGAGGCTAAAGAGATGGTTGCGCTCCAGAGAATCTGAAGAATCCTCTTCTATCAGCTAGACACGCCTCCTTTTTCCTTTCACTCCTCACCTCAGTGAATCACTGATGGAAACTGTGTTGTAGCTGGAACACAGTCCAGCCAGAATCTGCTGATACGTGATATTCAGAGGCAGCAGTAGACAGGGAATCAGTGGGCTGTTTACATATGAGCACTGGAGATCAAACATAACGACTTTTGGTCCGAGTGTGTTAATGATTACTGGATGCAGTAATGTCATTGCAGATCATCCAAAAATGATTATATATGAAATATAAAATTGTGGAACTTGAAGAGGAGAATGTCAGCTTGCAGGTTGCAGGGGATGCTATCTACAGAAGAGTTATTCTTAGTATACTATCATCAAAACAAAAAAAACATTCTCCTGTCAGATAGAGTCAAAATTAACTCTGGCCTTGCCAGATACATTTTTATTATTCCAGTAATTCCAATGCACAATGCAAAGGCATATTTCTTTCAAATTAGCTTGCATGTTTTTCAACCACATGTTTGATTTATCTTAAAGGAATATTATAATATTAATAACAATGCTTATTCGCTGTCTTGCTCAGAGTTAGATGAGAAGATTGATATCACTCTTGTGTCTGTATGCTAAATATGAAGCTAAAGCCAGGGACTTGTTAGCTTAGCTTAGCATGAAGACTTAAAACCTTTTTCTTTTTCCTCTCATAAAGAGAGAGAGAGAGAGAGAGAGAGAGAGAGAGAGAGAGAGAGTTCTGTTTTTTCTTTCTTTATGTTTTAGATTGTTTTTCTCTGTACTTATTTTTGTCTTCTTTGTGTGCCAGCTTCTGTGTACATGATTTTTCTGTGTATGTCTTTTCAAATTTTGATAGATAATTGGTCACAGAAAATACAAAACAACTACCAACAGCTAGTCTGCCTCTGTCCAAGGTGACAAAATCTCAGTTGTTTAAAGTGTAAAAATGACACATCTAATTTTTATGGGGGCTTATTTTAGCCAGGGACAGTGACTTTTCTGGCAACTTTATGGTGATGACAATACTACACTAAGTTAGTGCTCCCAGCCAAGAAATAGTCCCACATCCACCATAAAAGCATGGTTTTGTACAGGTAAAACAAATGAAATATAACATGTTAATGAGCTTGAGAGGTGCTGGAAGACAGATTTTGTTACCTTTAGATGGAGCCAGACTAGCAGTTTCCACTTTTTATGCTAAGCTAACAGCTGCTGATGGTAACTTCATATGTAGCATATCGATGTGAGAGTGATATCGATCTTCTCATCTAAGTTTCTGCAAGAAATGAACGCATATTTCCCAAAATGTCAAACTATTGCTTCAAGGCCATGATGTAATTGATATGTATTTGTTTAATTGTAAACGAATGAAGGTCAGCGGCTCAATGTGTGTAGCTGACGGTGAGCAGTAAGCGCCCGCTGTGCTTCCCTGCAGGTTCAGGCATTCCAGAGATGAAGACCATCCTGAGAGGAGTCGTGCTGAAAGAATACCTCACCTTCAAAACTTTTGTGGCCAAAGTCATTGGACTCACCTGCGCTCTGGGCAGCGGCATGCCCCTGGGCAAGGAGGTAACACACTCTCTATAAGCCCCCAAATGCCTTTATGTACTCCATGAATCCATGTGTGTGCATGTAGTCCTGAATGGAACTGCCCTACTGAATGGGAAGATGCAGATACTGGGGCACAGTGTGACACACACACAGCCCAAGCTGAAAACTGTGTCAATCAATGAGCCGATCAATAAGTGACTCATAAGACGGAGATGAAATGCAAGCTGCTCAACCGTGTGTTGATGGAAAAGTTGGAGTGAAATGACTCATGTATGTTGTTGGGTTTTAGTGGGTGTGTGTGTGTGTGTGTGTGTGTGTGTGTGTGTGTGTGTGTGTGTGTGTGTGTGTGTGTGTGTGTGTGTGTGTGTGTGTGTGTGTGTCTGCCTGCTACTGAACCACATAGTGGCAACCAGCTTTTTTTTTTTTTTTTTTTTTTTTTTTTTATGTTGGCACTGCCGGTAAAACTCTAATGCTGACCTACATTCAACAGTTTGCTAACACAGTTTCAGTGATTCGTAGCATTGAATTTTTGAACTGCCATCAGCTTTGAATGCCAGCTTGCACAACATCCAAAGTAAACCCTTCAGTATTAGTGCAGCTGTCTGCAGAATCACTTTAAATCATTATCAGTCATCAAAAACACATGTAGGTCAGAGTGAAGTGCAGGAACGCTGCTAGAGCAGGTTGTAAAACTCAGATTTTACTGTATTATGCCTAAAGTCAGTGCATACATACAGAACTAACTGCTGCATTACATGAACTTTCCTGGGAAACATAACCCTCCTGGACTCATTCACATTCCAGTTCCCTACATCCCTGCAGCATGAATTACAAATGATTCATAAATGGTACACGATGGGCCGATATGCTCATGTTCAGGTCGAGAGCAATGAGATAGAAAGAAAGAAGGACTGAAGGAGTGTGCGGTGTTGACTTGAGACCTCTTCTAAAACCCAAAGTGAGGGAGGAGATTGTTTTTCTGGAGATTTTAGGATTCCCAACCTACCTATGCAGATGTTGTTTGTGTCTTGTGGACTCATTTGTGTGTCTGTGCTAATATGTGAGCTCTAGTCATCTACACTACATTATACTGTGTTTTTTTTCTTCCCAAAACCAGTTTCAGGTAAGTATGGCATCCCCCAAAAGACTGCGTAGCCTACAGGAAAATATATTTTCTCCTCACACACACACACACACACACACCAGCCTCAGGCCCTTTTGGTTGCGTACCACTGCGGCAGCATTCACAGTTTGGATTCAGTGCAGTCCTTTTGACTTCCTTTTAACTTGAGCATCACTTTTCCAATGTAATGCTCTCACTTTTAATCCTGTTGGTTCCACTTTGAAACTCATCCCCAGAATTTTAATATTTGCTGCAGACTTTGTTGTTGTTGATGTGTTTTTATGTGCTATCTTGTGTGACGCACAACAAACAGGAGGCTGGAGTGCTTTTTAACCTGTGTTGTTTATGTTTATTTTCTTGCTGTCAGGGTCCGTTCGTGCACATCGCAAGTTTGTGTGCTGCTCTCCTCAGCAAGTTCATGTCTCTGTTTGGAGGAATCTATGAGGTGAGTCTTGTTCTTCCTTTTAGTGTCAATGCCCTTACTCTCATGTTTCTGTCACTCTTCCTTCATTTTGCCCAACGGATGTAACTGTGTTTTACTGGTTTTACTGGCAAAATATATTAATACTTTTATGTTTTTATTTTATTTGACATATACAGTGTACACTTCATACACAATTTAAGACACAATTTCAACCTCCAACTCAGGTTATTGTCCCGTTTTATTACCTTATCCTCTACATACACAGCCTCTCAGGCTGTATACAGGCTACCCTGTCTTATTTGCGAAGGTTGTCAGAATGATATGTAGATAATAAGTAATTTTGATGTTTAATGGCCTCACTGGTCCAATAATAACATGTTGACACCATAGTGTACACCAGATTTATACATACTTACTCTCTGAAGACAGTTTCGAACCTGCAACCTGGCTACATCAACTGTTTTGTCATATAAAAAATTGGTCTGGATAGTGCTAGCTGGCAACTAAAACTTTAACTTGATTTATTGATTTTTTTTTTTCTGGGCCACATGGGGGCAGCAGAAACAAGCTGTGAACACAAATTGGTCCAGTGTGAAACATTTAGGAGGATCTATCGGCAGAAATGGAATATGATATTCATAGGTTTTCATTACTGTATAATCACCTGGAAATAAGAATTTATGTACTTTTGTTACCTTAGAATGAGCTGTTTTTATCTACAGTAGGTCCTCTTCTACGGATGCCATGTCAAACCGCCATGTTTCTACTGTAGCCCAGAATGGACAGACCAAACACTCGCTTTAGATAGGGCCTTTTTGCAAGTTCTAGGCCAAGACGTACTCAGTTGGTTCTAGGCTCAATCTGCAACTTCATTGCTAGATGTCACAAAATCCTACACACTGGTCCTTTAAAGGTGATTTCATAACAGTAATTTATACATCCAGTAGTTACGGAACAACATCATTTATAGTCCTGTATCTGGTAAATACTGTAGGTTCAATGTTCACTCTCTTTTTGCTCTGCTTTTGGTCTCTACCAACTCCTGAGGGAAGTATCTGCCTCCTTAGCTGCTAAATACTCCATTATGTTCACCAGATAGTCTCTAACTGTGCCTGTTTGGTGCTGAGCAGGCAGTGTCTTAGAGACCAAGAAGAGTGGGTGGAAAGGGGGGAAAAGCTGAGATTTTTCCCTGTGTGTGAGGGGAAGTGAGAGGGGAATTAGAGAGGAAATGACTGAAAGAAGAAAAGTGAAAGATAGTAGGTAATTTTCCAGAGAAGGTTAGGGAAAAAGAACAGAGAGAATTAATAAGAATGAAGATGACTGTAGGAAATTCATTTCCAGCACTGATGTTTTCTGATGCTGCTTTTTTTTTATGCAGTACATCTGTCTGTCTTGGTCTGGTCTGCTGATGCCTCAGAGTCGAAAGAAAATAAAACAGGAGATTCAAACACCTGACAAAAAGGCTTTTATGTTTTAGTTAGTCTCCGTCTGTTTGTCCTTCTATCATTTGTTCAGATAAAAACGTGGAAAAGCAGCCGTGCACACAGACACGAAATGCATATTTCTTCTCCTTTTTCCCGAGGAATCAATTTAATTCATCCCATGTAAAGTCAACAACCAGTAATAACCCATACATGTTTAATCAGTCTGTTATTTGTCAGCAAATTGGATCTTTTTCATCTCCAAAACTAACTTTGCCCAGAGAGAGATGCAGTGAAATGGATATGAAAATTTCAGTAGGGGGAAAGGAAGAGAAGGATGGAAAAGATGTAGATTGAGTTAGGGGGAAAAGGAAAGCAAAACAGTTTTCTTCTTCATCTCCTCCTTTTTCTTCTTCTCTGTCTTCTCTGTCCGTTGGGACAGGAGTCCTGGAGATTGAGGAAGGCAGAGAGAAAATCTTGACTCTCATCTCTCTCTTTTCTGAAGATGTGAGAACCTCTCTTGGGGGATGAAATGGTGGGAAGATGGGAAGGTTTGAAGAGAGTACAGAGGGCAGTGTGACAGAGAGACTGGTTGGTGCCAGAACCCCCAAAGGTCCCCACGCTGCAGCCAGTGTGTCCTGAAACTAAAACAATAAATCTTAATGCAAAGGTGATTTGGAGGAGCAACTGGATTGGCCATCCATGTTCAAACAAAAACATTCTACATATGACAAACAAGTTTGTGGCACATGCACAATACACCCATATGTGATTGTTTGAACATTTAACCCACAGGGCTTTAAAGTGCTTTCTACCAGATTTTAGAACCGGGCTGCAGGGATTTGCTCCCATTTAGACACATGAGTATTAGTGGGGTCCATCACTCATGTTGGAAGATAAGAGTTGGTTCAGAGTCTGCATTCCCAGCAAGTCCTCCAAATTAAATGATAAAATACGTAGTGTTCATTGCCCTCTAGACCGACACATAGAAGCAGTTATTAAAATGAATTTTAGATACAGTTACAGACAGTTCTCAGCCTGTTGGATGTGGCCTTTAGTAGCCCAGTGTCTCCATATAGAGGATGGCTGAAAAAATGTAGCCTTTGAAAAATACCTGTCTTGGAGAAAATGTGACGGACATTATTTTTATTGGAGATAATGTGGAGAAACATGCACAAATCTGACATTCATTTAGATACTAGATAGAAGATGGAAGGTTGAAATATTCAGTCTGCTTCTGCTTGTCTGTGGGTGACAGATTGTTTTCAATAGGAAGAGCACAGTAAACTGTATGGTGACATTTACCTCATACTGTAAATGTTGTGACAGGCACTACACATTCAGTCGCTCCATCTCCTCCATTATTCCCTCTTTTAGTATGCTGGTTTTTAATATTTCCATCTGTCGTTACAAAATTTTATCTCTCTCTTCAGTAATCATCATCATCATCATCGTCATTGTCTACCCTGTAACCCCCATGTTACTCTCTCCCGCTCCCCCCTCCCTCTGGGGTGTTGTGCTGCATTTTATTGCATATTAATGCTGAGGGTGTGTGTGCGTGTGTGAAGTGTCCCTCTGCAGCAGTTGCTCATTCTCTTCAGAGTTTGAAGTACAGTATGCTAATGTAGACCTGTGGGCTATGAGAACCAGCTTTTTGTTCTAGCGTGCTTTTAGAGAGTGTGCTGCATTTTAAAAAAAAAAAAAAAAAAAAAGAAGAGAAAAATGAAAGGAGGGATGAGTACTCCACAGGCACGTGGAGAATACCATTGTTTGAAAAAGCAGACACGGGATCAGATATAACTATAAAACATGTTTTTATCAGATCTGTGAGCGTCAGTTGAGCCTGCAGACTTTGTACATGAAGATGGATAAAAGGATTTCAAATCAGATTGATTGTTCAATCAGCACACACAGTATTAAAGGTGTTATTTATCGTTCCTGAGTATCTTAACTTTGTCTCTTAATCCCATGCTTCCTGAAGGAGCCCTGGACTAAGGTAATTCAATCATACAATTCCCAGCATGCCCCACATTCCATGTCCTCTCCTCCCTACTCTAACATAACTGTAGCTAAATATGTATTTTAGTATCAAGTCTCCAGAACATGTTTTAAACCCTTTTTAAGATTATTTTTTACCGTTTTTTACCGTTTTTTGTGTTTTTAAAATATCACATCATATACTGCAGTGGTTCTCAAACTTTGTGCCCACCCATTTTTTTCAGCCAAGTACCCCCAGCATAGATTTATTTTGGTAGATTACAGAATATCCTGTATAAAGAGGTACAATACAGGAGGCACAACCTTGTAACTGAAAAAGACTAAATTTATGGCAAACCAATTTCTTGTCATCATGCAATAAATAACACTAAGACAGCATTGAAGTTGCGTTGAACTGTGTCTTTTGATAAGTTGCACTCACAGTTTAATGAGAAACGTGGACTTGTGCTTCACTGAGGATCTTTGTCATTCTCTGTGGCAGGCAGCAGTGATCAGACTCTATTCCAGGGGATTTAGAGCAGTTTTTAGGTAACGATTGCATTAAATGCAAATAAAATGTGGTTTATCAAACTTATATATATATATTTTTTTTTATTGACCTTATTGTATAATTATTTTAGGAATTATGCATGGCTGATATCTCACATACCCCCTGCAGTTTTTCAAAGTACCCCTAGGTGTACCCCCATTTGAGTACCATTGATATACTGTATATTTTATATCATCTTGTTTTAACTACTCTTTGACGTTCACTGAGTGAAATATTCAAAGCCAATAATATTTGGATCTTTGTACTTTTCTGCTTCTCCTTATTCCGTCCAACAGCAATGTTGTAGATGTCTTGTACATCATTTCAGACACATTCCCCAAAATTCAGCCTGACACAGTTGCTATCTTTGGAGACTTTGGCCCAATGCAGGAACAAACATGCAAACATTCTGTGTCACTCAGTGATTTAAGAAAGAAAATCCACGAGGGGTCCACACAACTTGAGAATTTTTAATTTGGTTACAAAAGAAAACCGGATTGAAGATGGGATATATTCTGTTGTCCGTCTTTTTGCAGTGGATCACTTTGCTTAAGCATAATTTTTTAACATCAATGTAATGCCAAAATATTTTTTCCGTCATAGTGTGAGTCTATGATAACATGGCACTGACTGCTGTAGAAATATTTACTTAGTTTTCAGGTCCTCTAGTTTTCTACTGACACTACCAAATTTGTCTGCTGATTTCTGACAGAAGGACTTCAAGCTGCAATGTTAAATTCTTCCTCCCTTTACTTCTGGTCGACTTTTTTATGAATTGATCTTTCCCACCAATGAAGCCAAATAAGAAGGCCCATGATCTCATAAACAAGCCGTCCTCATGAACATTGCATTCACAAAGCAGAAAGCAGCAGTTGATGACAAGCTTGCGAAGTTCCAGTGGTGTGCTGAATCTATCTTTAGTGTAGTATAAGAACAGGTTCCAAACAGGAACTTGTTCTTGCAAGAGGCCCAACGTTTGGCTGCACAACATGTGTTTTTAAAAACTCAAAGCATCAAATCAAAAAGTTCTGCAAATTCTTTTAGAAAAGGAATCAGAGTCAGAATATACTTTGCCTGTGTACACTCTCAAGAAAATGTTCAACAAATTCTCTGAAAAAGTCATTTCAACTTTGAAGAAGTGGAAATATTCCTGCTGGCATTTTTTAAAATATTCATTCAAGATTAATATGTTTTGCAGTGTAAGCTGTATTTGCAATATCTTTCTTGACCACCCCTTTTATATTGCTCTGTGACCATCTTTCTGTGTGTGTGTGTGTGTGTGTGTGTGTGTGTGTGTGTGTGTGTGTGTGTGTGTGTGTGTGTGTGTATGTATATGTGTGTGCAGCATGCTAATCAGAGTTACACAGAGAGTTGTAAGACCAGGATAAGCCACAGAGTGTACTGTCAAAGGGAAAAGCACACACACACACACACCCTCTAACCTCTCTTTATCACTGTCATGCTGCTTAAAGGAAACCAGTCTCATAGGAATGAAGGTAAGTAAGATCAGGCATGTCAAAAAAACAATTCCCAGGTTGCACCGTGATCCTCTGCGCTGCAGTCATTATCTGTCTTACTGTGTGTCACACTGTAACTCCTTATCTGATCAGATCCTCATTATTATTATTATTCTCTCAAAGACAGATTTATGGATGGTCTTTGTATGGACTGTGTAGTTACAGATGTTATTTAAGTACTTTGAAAGCAGAACATGTGCTTTATCCGCCTTTGCTCTTTTTTTGGTAACTATTTAGCTTCAGCAGCTTTCTTTAAGCTGCAGTAGGTAACTTCTATAAAAAAACGTTTTGTCATATTTGCTAAAACTTTAACTATATCCTGACAGTAGTACATGAGACAGATAAAATCAGGTTCTTCTGGCTCCTCCTAGTGCTCCTGGTGTAATCTACCATGCCTGAAAGAAAACAACCAATCAGAGCCAGGAAAGATAGATGATTGTTAATTGCTCATTCCCAGACTGTCAAATAACGACACTGGGAATGAGAAGAAAAATATATACTTTATTGATCCCCTAGGAGAAATTGTTCTTTTCACTCTTTTTTTTTTATACACACACAGAAATGCACACATTTGTGGACGTGCAAAGGGGAGAACTGGCACCTCTCCAGCTACCAGTCCACACTCCATATTTTGTAGTTTGTGGGACTTCACCTGGCAACCCTCGGGTTCCCAGCTATTTTCAAGCCACCAACCCAAACTATCTTTCTGTCTTTCTCAGCTCTGATTAGTTATTTTCATTCAGGCCCGGTAGATTTGTGCAAATGCCGTTAGGAGCACTAGAACGAGCCAGAGGAACCGGATTTTTTTCACAGATTATCTGTCTTGTGTACTGCTGTCAGGACACAGTGAGAGTTTCAGCAAATATGACAAAAAGTTATTTTTTATAAAAGTTACCTACTGCAGCTTTAATGTAATGAAATGGCTCTGTTCTGAACTGCCACTGGGTGTCAATGTCAGATTTGTCAGTATAGTTGATAATGAAATATAACTGTGTGTGTATGTGTGTTTCAGAATGAGTCGCGAAACATTGAGATGCTGGCAGCAGCTTGTGCTGTGGGAGTGGGCTGCTGTTTTGCTGCCCCCATAGGAGGTGAGTCTCCATTGGAAAATTGCCTATATAGTAACACAAGTCTAACACAGTTTACTGGAGGTGTACGTTGTTTATTACATGTTGCATCATAAATATCAACCGCACATCATACAGTAACACACTGAGCTTTATGTCGCTCAGTGGGGATTTTGTAGTGATGGCAATACCTCTTTCTGTACACGTAATATCATCTCATGTTAAATGTAGGGCCTTCATGCTTGTCCGATCATTTGACATTGTCTAGATAATACTGAGTGGGAGAAAAGCCTCTGAGGCGAGCCTGTGTGTAATTTTGGAATCAGAAATAAAGATTGCACTCCAAGAGGTGAGAAAATCTGAGCACAGATGATGGTGAGCACAGTTATGTGTGTGGTTCTGGAAAAAAAAAATGTTTTTGATCATCATTACACAAGTAGAACAGAGGATTCTGCATTTCTGAAAATGTCCATTTAACTTATTTAAGCTCCTGTGTATTCATATTTTGTCTCTTGGGAAAGAACACCATTATCAGTACATTACATGAGTCTTTTTGTACTATATTAATAACCACGTGTAACCCAGGCACAAACTGTGAGCAGTTTATTTTAACATTTGTATTGAATGTAATGTGTGTTTGTGTTCGTACGTGTGTGTGTTTCAGGTGTGTTGTTCAGTATTGAAGTAACATCCACGTTCTTTGCGGTGAGGAATTATTGGCGAGGTTTCTTTGCTGCTACCTTCAGTGCCTTCATCTTCAGAGTACTGGCTGTATGGAACAGAGACGAAGGTAAGGCAGACTTTTGCTGTGAGTCTAACTACTAAGACTCAAGGCAAAAACTCACACTGACAAATAGTAAAGAGTCCTCGTCTGCAGAGTGTCATTAGGTTTAATGCCCAAAATGTTATTAGATAAAGTGATAAATAGTGGCTGGCAGTGTGCTGGTTTTTATTTGCTTCTTTACATTTCACAGAATGTGGGGCATTGTTCTTATAAGTGAGAAACTACTTTTAAAATACACTGGAAATTGCGGAAGTCATATACATTATATATAAAGATGGATGACACATCTACACTCTAATTGTGCAAAAATGAAGCCATAATGTCCCGGAAACGGTTGCTGCCATCGTGCGCTAATGATATTATTCGAAGCCAGGTAGCAGTAGTGAAAGGGGTTGGAGTTGCACTATCAAGGTCCAAAATCAGTTCAGCTGAATCAGTCACTGGTGCTACTTACTATGCTGCTGCTGCGTCCACACAACCAGCTGGGCACCGATGTCAGTTAAGCCCTGAACCAATGCACTGAATCCATCTCCACACAGTTTCAAACAATCTGATGTCTCTGCATACAAACTTTGCAACTTACAGAGTTATAGTGTCCTTGTCCTCCTGTTCTGGCAGTTTGAGAGTTGTGTTATTGGGAAAGTTACTGTTAACAGAATGCTTCCTCTAGATTCCCAGTGCCTTGTTAAAGTTTTTGGCAACATTTTCTTTGTTTACAACACTGTGGCCTGGCTGTGTTAGGTTAGGACTTCTGCTTAGCACCTCCACAATCAGCTGAACTTGTTTACTTCTCACCTGTTACCTTCCATCAGGGACAGAATTTGAACCGCTGTACCACTTGTACAGTGCACTGCATCTGATTGCAGGACCATAGACCTCGTCTTGGACCTGTGGATGATTGTTTTGGACGAGGCTTGTTCTCCTTCCTAACTCTTGCTGTACTTTTGTCTCTTTCTCCAGAAACCATCACAGCCCTTTTTAAAACCCGTTTCCGGCTAGACTTCCCCTTTGACCTCCAAGAGCTTCCTGCCTTTGCCGTCATTGGGTGAGTCTTTTTCTCAATCAATTTCTAATTTCACAGATACATATAGGCATCCATTGGGAATATGATATTATTTCTCTTCAGAAAGTGGTAAAAAATAACCTTTGTCAACAAAATGCCGGGACACCAAGTCCATAGAAAGTTTAAATAAATTCCAACAGTGGTTCATTGTTGTTGCCCATCTGGTTTCCCATGAATTCCCATGGAGAATTCCCATTTGCTTTGACTGCAGCATAAATTCAGATATTATTCAGGAGCTGAACTCTCCATGTAGCTTGTGAAGGTGTTACTTCAGGGTAGCCTGCGTGAGTCACCTAACATGGATAATTCAGCCTGCAACAGTTGCTGGCGTACTGAGGCATGTCTTATTTTATGCTGCCTTAGCCTGAGGGCTCCTCCATGGCTGTGAATGAGACCACGGGCTCCTTGAAGATGGGAGGGGTGCTCTCCCTCCCACTCCTCCACCCTCTCTCTCTTAGATGAAAGCACATGCCTGTGCGTAACTCTGCGCAGGCTCCCCAAGAGAAGAAAATCCCTCTCTTTTTTCCTTTCTCATCTTTTCTTCTTTCTTTTTTTGTGTCCAGAGGTGTGAACACCCACTACTGCATCAGTGACTTTCACGTACAGTACACTTAACACTGCCTCCAGAGAGAGGCAGAGAGGGCGCTACAGTGTGTGTGTGTGTGTGTGTGTGTGTGTGTGTGTGTGTGTGTGTGTGTGTGTGTGTGTGTGTGTGTGTGTGTGTGTGTGTGTGTGTGTGTGTGTGTGTGTGTGTGTGTGTGTGTGTGTGCTGGTGCATCCATGTAGTTTCCATCTTCCCTCTGCCAATAGCTGTCAAGCGGGGAAAGTCGGTCAGTGTCTCAGTCAAGTAGGCCAGAAAGAGTTTGTTCTGTGCTACATGCTGCCAAGGGCATGTCTTTGAAGAGTCACACACTATTCTACTTACTGTTTACAGCTTCAGGGTGTAGGAGTGAGGATCACTGGAACACCAGGAGGCTGAAATTTAACCTGACTCCTGCATGCAGAAAACATGCAAATACAGTGTATGTGCCAATTAGGGATGTCACGAGAACCAATACTTTGGTACCAAGTCACTGCCATAACTCTGAAAATTTGGCGGTACTCATTTTTCTACAGTACTGTAGTTACTGGGGATGCAATTTTTCCAAGGCAGCATATTCGCCTACAAATATTCTAGTCTGCTGTTAAAAGCCATAGGAAGCAGTGCAGCTGTACAGATGATTTTACTCACAAAGCTTTAGTGCACAGTGCAGCTGCCATCTCTCTTTCTACTTGCGGGTTAGGCTGAGCTCCTTTGCGGAGGCGAGGCAGACAGCGGTGGAGAGCCGTATTTTCACAATACTTCACTGTACTGTGTTGTAATTTCTGTTGTGGTGGCAACAAATGCATTTTCAGATTTAAAAAGAATTGAACATTAAGGTGCTCTGTGGTGTTTTCTTACTGTGGTGTTGACTGTTTTCTTTTAATCATTCAAAGCTACGTCCTTTCAGTCAGTGTTCTTCATCATGTGTGTCCTTGAGGTTTAACAAACACGTGGAATGCCTTTCCTTCCTCGGAAAGTAAAGAAACTTTTGAGCATTTTGAGGCCTGCATTGCTGGCAGATTGATATGCCACCAGCTGATCAGTGGAGCAGTGTGAAGCCATCAGCAGGAATCTGTATCTCATCACCTCTGTGGTTTTTATGTCTACACATTTGTCCTCGCAGACAAGCCAGTAGAATATGAGATACAGTAACAACAAAACCGACACCTGCTCATGAAAATATTGCCACTGGTGAGCAAAAACTCCACAGAGAACCTTAAAGCACAAGGTTGGAAACGTCTATATTTCTGTTACTGTCAACAAATCTTCTAAGAAGACCAAAACCAAGGTGTTAGCCTGTCTCTCAGTACCCTCCAGCTTCCCTGCACTGTCTGTTGCTCTTATCCCCGAGCCCACTGGTTCCTAATGAAGACTTAAATGGGTCTCAAATATAAAGTCAAATATAAATATATAATCCTTTTATCTCTCATGCTATCAGACTGTTAAATGTTCATGATGGTGATCCTGTTTTAGTCGTGTATGACGGGACGATAATAGCTGGATGTACTCCAGATTTTATTTTATTATTTCATTGAATTTATCTTTTTTTTATTATTATTTACTTATCTTATGTATTATGTATGTGCTATGCTTTATGTTCATGTCTGTGTTTTTTACCTGGCTGCGAGACAAATTTCACCTCATTTCACTTGAACAATCAAGTTCAAGTTGAATATCGTTAATTGTAGTTTTCAGCATACTGCTCAAATAGGAGTAAACAGTGCCTTTATTGGGGACTATTTCCAGCTGTGGATTAATACACATTTGGAGTATTTATGGCAGCAGGATGGTGAATGTGGAATTGAGTCAAAATAAACTACAGTGAATGGGGACTAGTTTATTCATGACAATGAAGGAACATGTCCGCCAGTGCAACAGCGTGGCTTACTGATGTGTTTTTAATGGATTTTAAACAACGATGGAGCTCTATGGCACTGAGGAAGAAGATGTGTCAGCCTTTGGATACATACACAGTTGTTAGCGGGATACATTCATTGACAGGGATCCCTAAGACTATATCAAATGTGGGTCAGTGGCCCTTGGGGGTCCTAGACCATCAGAAAGGTTGAGATTTGCCCTAGGGGAAGCACCAGTCTGGTTGAGATGCCTTTTATCTGATCATACCCCTAAAATAGTACCCAAACCCTCATTCTGATCTTCAGCATTAACCCAAATTCTAGCCCTGAACCAGCCCACAGAGAGAGGACATGTGGTGCTTTTTAAGGGTACAACTACAAAGAACACAAAAAGGAACACATGCAGTGTTTTCCTCGGCTGCACAACAGGGACAAAGACTCCCTCATCATCCTGTTCATTATTTATTCAGAGGTATTTGACAGAATTAATAATGCAGCAAGATACATTTATAAGCATTAGGTTGTCTGCATAGCTGTCTGAGTCTGTTCTTTCTCTTCCTACCTTTATTTTCCTCTTACTGCCATGAAGAGGACTCCCACTGAGCTTTTAAAGGCATGCTTATGTAAACCTCTTTTTTTGCTTTGACTCCCCCACACATCCCCGTTTGACTGTATGCTTTCTCTCTTAGCGGTTATTCCCTGTTCATTTATCATCTCTAGTATGTTTCTCCTTTAAATGTGTTTTTGTTTTTCTCTGTTGTTTCTCTTATTTTCCTCGTCTGTATCTACGGTGCACAATATCCCTCCCCCAGGATTTGTTGATTTTCTTTTTTCCCTCCCTTCCCATCAGATTTGTACATATTTCTCAAACATTATGTGGATTGGGGCAACTGTAAATATGATTAAACTGCATTACATTTGCGCCTATGCCTGACATCCGCCTCCACTGTAGTGTATGGTAGTAAAGACTTTATTGTGGCCAAATGCACCGGGGACGACCTATGGAGTTGGTTTGAGAGAAACATTTTATGATGGATGCTTTGGTTTGTTTCAGCTTGGACTCATTTGTTCCATCCAGTTTAAATTTGATTACCCAGAATGCATTTTTATGCCAAGTAGAAAAATGCCTGTCTCTCCCTGTGTGTCTCCGCAGTATCGCCAGTGGTTTTGGTGGGGCTTTGTTTGTCTACCTGAACAGACTGATTGTGCAGTTCATCAGGAAACAGAAGGCCATCAACAGATTCCTCATGAAAAAGTAAGTTCTACTAGTTGTGGAAAGTAACTAAGTACATCTAATACCGACAAGTTAACCGATAATTTTACAAGCTGTAGTTCACTCCCAACCTCAGTTGGATAATTTAATATCCATCTGTCCTAACCCAATCTAACTGACATCATCATTAACTGAAGTTCACCAAAAAAACTTCACAAACATACTTTTCCTTTCGTAGAACATAAAGTCTATTTAAAGCTTTGCATAAGAATTCAAAATAAATTCTCGACTGATAATTAATCGGAAACAATTTAATGTTTTTATCTGGAATATTCCCATTGAGATTTAAAATCTCTTTTACAGTGGATTCCTGGCCAAGACAGCAGCACAAAGTTTCAGATAAAAGAAAAAACAATAAACTAAACAGTAAAACATTAAGACAAATAGCATAAAATAAATCTACTTCCTTGTCCTTAATGAGGTTTTGTAATCTTCCATGCTTCTAAAATCTAGTTTAAGGTGAAAGTGCTTTTAAAGGTTTTACTATTAATATCAATTTCCCATTACCAACCAATGATCTATCGGCCCTGATATATATAATTAAAATGCTACTTACACAGTTATGAATCAGTAATGATAATTTAGTAGTATAATAATGTCTGGAAAGGTGGCTATTCTGCTATTCTTTTACTTTTGCTATTTTAAGTAAATTTTTCTGACATTTATCCTGTTTATTTACTTAATTCGAACCCAGGACTTGAGCTTGCAACAGTCTTTTTACATTGACGTGTTGGTACCTTTACTTTAAAACATCCAATTATCTGTGCCAGGTTTACTTTGCCATTCGGGTCTATTGTGATTGAATGCATGATTTCAGCTTTAATGTGGATTAAGGCATATTAAGAACAATTCCCCAACACTTGATATGAATGTTACAGGGAGTCATATAGGATGTGATAGGATGTGTATTGCTTCAGTGGTGAGTTGTTGATGTGGCTGTCTACAGTGAGTGAGTCTATCCCGAACATCCTCTGAGATCATTGTTAGTGAATTACTTACTGTAAAAGCTAGAGCTGAAATGATCAACAACTAAGATTTTTCATTACAAGATTTAATTACAATTTGATGACAAGCAAAACTTGTTTAAAAAATGCCAAACAATCTATGCTTCCAGCTTCTCAAACCTGAGGATTCACTGTTTTTTGTCATATATGTAAAGTGAATATGTTTGGGTTTTTGACTCAACAAAGCAAGACATCTGAAGACGTCAGCTTGAGTCTAGAAAGCTGTGACTGGCATTTATTCCATTATTTATTGACATTTTATACACTAAATAATTGATTGGAAAATAAATCTTCTGATTAAAAGATAATTATAATAATTAGTTGCAGCCCCAGTAAAAACAAACCTAAACCTCATAAACCTCCACCCACCCACCATGGAGCCGTGTAGTGTACAGGTGATCACCTGCACGTTCACATGGAAGCTTTAGAGGTTATTGAGGGTTCGGTGATGCTCATAACAAACACATAGCATGCCTTATTGTGGGAATATACAGCAACACCAGTGTTTTTCCATCAGTCTGAACCCTTGCCGCAGTCACATTAAAAATGAAAGCCTTAATGACTGTTGTGTTAATTCACTTATTTACTGTACACCCTCTGATTGGGCTTTAGATGATTAATATATTGATGTTAACTCAAGCAAAACATGCCTTTTTCCAATGAGCCTGTTTAATGTGCCCGATACTGATTGTTTTTGTGTTTTCCTAGCTTTAATACACTCCCTGTCTGCCCTCTCCATTTTTCCTCTCTTCTCTCTCTCCCTCAGACGTCTGCTGTACCCTGCACTGGTCACTTTACTTGTTTCCACACTAACATTTCCCCCTGGATTTGGACAGTTTATGGCTGGCAAGGTAGGTTCTGCACACCCACTCAACACATGCTATTATTTTTTATACAAGTTGCACAGTGGCCATTGCTGTAATTCAAAACTGTGGGGGAAAAAAGCCTGTGGCATTACCTGTCCACTTAATATATCTGTAATGTATTCGGTCTGCAGCAGCACAAACTAAATGAACACATCAAATGAATGTGTATTTAAGCTTGATTTATATTTCCTTCATGATATATTGTTGTGGTCTTCATGCAGCGGCATAGAGCAGCTGTGTAATGAACCATTTTATATCATTCTATTGTTTCATAACAGCGTGATTAGCATTCATGTTTGTGTGTGATTGTTTATTAATTCTCATAACACTGGTTAAAATGTGCTTTTGTGTGTATCATTTCTGTACACTGGAGACTTGGGTGAGCGTGTGTGTGTGTGTGTGTGTGTGTGTGTGTGTGTGTGTGTGTGTGTGTGTGTGTGTGTGTGTGTGTGTGTGTGTGTGTGTGTGTGTGTGTGTGTGTTCCCTCCAATTTCACCCCCTTCATCTGTCTAATTATCAGAATTAGAAATGGAATATTCTGTGCATCCTCAAGCCTTATACACACACACAGCACACACACAGGTACACACACACACACACACACACACACACACACTCTTTCTCAGTTTTGGTTCCTAATGAGAGGGTGAGTCAGGCTTTTGAAAGCTCAAAATCTGCCTACACTGACCCACTCCTCTTAAAGCCCTTCTCTGGAGAGCTCACTAAAAATTCTGTATCTTAAATCCCCCTGTCTTGCTCTTATTCTCCTCTGTCATCATTTCTTTGGCAGTGTGCGCTATCATCGCCACCAGTGTCTCCAGCTATCCTGGCTTTAAAACGACGATAGATGAATTTGTCTTACACTCCCCGCCTGCTATCTGAAATCTCCAGTGACATCTTTTAAGACACATTCAGCACTCATTCTGGCCTGCTATATAAACTTTGCATTTGTGGTATTTTTTATTTCCAAGTAGTAGTGTTTACATTTACATCTCAAGCCGGATGCACAGAAGGCTTGTGAATCTCCGACATAAAGTCAAATTTTTCTCAAAAAGTCTTCCAGAGAATCTGTCAGAGGAGCAAAATTGACTGCGTATCAACAGGCATGCGGAAAAACAAAACCACAAGCTTTCTCCTGGATAGAGAAGAGCACAGGGTCTACCAATATTTTGAAGCACCTTGTTGAACATGCAGTATTTGCATATGAATCTGAAATAATGACGGGCCATTAGGCAGCTCTAATGCCTGTTGTATGATAGTATTATACAACAGATTGTCAGTGGAAATTCTGCCATTGGCCAAAGGAAGAGTAATACACAATTACAAGAACAGGGCCAATGTCACATTTTCTGAATCAATGAATCGATTCAGTGCATTCACATAAATCCTTAAAGATATAATATGTAACATTACTGCATTTAGATGTCTAAAAACAACTAGATCTGTTAAATATTATGTTAAGGTGTGTACTCACATTATCCCAAATGTTGCCAACAATGATCAAACACAAAGATATCTGTAATTTTATTCAGGTAACGGTGTGTTTCATTTGGTCGGCTGTCAATGGCGTCATATCCTCTTCACCCTCTGTTCACTCCCGGTGAAACATTGGAAACACCAGGGAGTGAGGAAGGAAGTCGCCTAACTAGCTAACTAGCCACTCGCCCGTGAACATGATTTCTGCTGAGTCAGATTTTCATCAGCCATGGTTGTTTAACAATGACGATAACAACTCCCATGATCCCACATTGCTTCACGACATCATCTTATATTATTGTTTTAATTGAGAGACTCCTAGTGGCAGAAAAAGTAAAAGAGAAGAAAAATGCTACAACACGCCCACCCATGTTTGCATATGTTAATGATGTCACTTCCTGTGGCCTATAGCTGACCCAGAAGGAGTCTCTTGTGACGTTACTGGACAACCGGACGTGGGCCAAACAGGGCATCGCTGAGGAGTTTGACTACATCGGACACTCTCAGGCCTGGAAACACCCACAGGTCAACGTCTTCGTCACCCTGGTCCTCTTCATTGTCATGAAGGTAGGAGACAAACACCTGTGGAAAGGGTTATTTGGTTAACTTATGTCGGTAAATGCATACAAAATATTCTATTCATCACCTGGCCCTGCAGTCATTTTTTAATCTTCATATCTTCCATAGCAATAAACCTCTATCTTCCCGCTCGTTACTCTACCTCTCTATTTCCACCTCAACCCTTCCTTCACTTCCCTTCTGTATGTAAAACCCACACATACAGCATGCTGCTGCTGGCTATAGTGCCATGGAAGACAAAGGAAGGTCATGAGGAGAGTGTGAATTGAGCATGAACGTATTATAGATGGGTTGGTTTTGCCCTTTTTATTCAATACTGGACCTTTGCTAATGGGAAAATATTGGAACAGAGCCCATCTCCTCTTGTCGCTGTTAAAGAACAAAGGGAGACTGTGTTAAAAAAAAATGTTGGAAAGTGGCCCATCTCCCCCTCAGTGTGTTACAAAGTTATGTTCCCAGGAGGCCACTTAAAGTTTCGTTCAACTTTGATGCGATATCGCTGAGTGAATGAGCTGATGGGATCCATGTATAAAAATATATAGGGACAGAGCATATCTTTATGCCTCAGTGTTACACTTAATGCTGCCACTGCCATTGTGAATAATGACTGTGTTCAGCCTACATACAGTATTTAGGCTTAATGTGGACACTATTATGTGATTTACAGTAGGTACTGAAACTCACCTCTATGTCCAAAGTAAGGCTAGGGCAGTTCTACCTAATTTTTTTCAAATCTGAAGCTAACACATCTCGTACCAAACCTTTTATCTGTCCTCACTCTTTATTATTCCAAAACCAGTCCAAAATGCCCGGAACCAGCCGTCGGTCCCATATTACTCCTGTTCTTGCATCCCTCTATTGACTTATTGATTTAGGATCAACGACACGATCCTGCTGATTACATATAAGGCACTTCATGACCTTGCCCCCAGTTACATTTCAGATCTCCTTGTTCGTCATTCCACTCCTCGACCACTGTGCTCCTCAAATCTTGATCCATCCCCCTCTCCAACGTCCCCCCGTTGTTTTCTTGTTTTATTCATCCATATGTTTGTTATTTGTTGTTTTTTTTAATGTTTTTTGTGTATGTATATATAATATATACAGCTGATAACCGATCTTAGAGTTTTAGATATTTATAGGTTATAAAGCTAAACCTAATTACAGTTACAGGATTCAGATTTGATAAAATGCTTTTTGTGGTACTTTTATTTTTTATTAAATGAAATGAAGGCAAAGATCTAAGGATGAACTAAGCTAAGGTAAACTAAGGTCTCCTTGAAGGTGAAAAGCATGAATGTATTCACACAAAAATACAGTATATTGTCTGTCTATAGTCTCTAAATCCAACGGATTTCAGAAAACTTACTTTTCAGGGATGTTTAGAACATTTTGTGTGTGCAATTTAAGGGCAAAGCCACTGTTGACGAGCGTTAAGGTTGTTGATGCAATGAAGGTGAGGCAAGGAGGCAGTACAGAGTCAGAATAATGACAACACTGAGAGAAAAAGTAGTAGCTCAAGGTGCAACGCACAAGATCTGTTACAGTAAGAACTGGGTCTGTTTTTCCAACTTAGTGGTGTCTCTTTTGGATGTGATACAGGGCTGACTGACACACAGATAGACAGGTGTATAGCAGCCACTTCGCTTTGGCTTCAGTGTTGCAAGGTAACTATCTTAGAGCATCCCACAGGGTTAATCACACAGCTCATCGGTGACAGGTGCAAAGGCAAAAACAAAGCATACACAAGAGCGCATACCTGCAGGCCTACATTCACGCTGTTAAATCCTCTGACACCATTATTTTAATAACAAAGCATTTTAAGAAATGATGGAAATGTAAATTGGAGGTCAGTCAGACAGCAAAATACATCCATGTACAATCTTTGGATCCTAGCTGAGGGGAAAGTGGATAGGTAGTAAACATCAGTATCTGGCTCCCTGGGGTCTCAGTGAGGGAAAAAAAACACAGTCCTTGTAATATAAAGTATTGGAACCAGGCCACTGCACTTTGGCCTCAGTGAAAAAACAAGCTGAACATTTACTATATATTCATTTTTCCTTTTATGAGAGAAAAAGTCTCTCTTCTGGTCTCAGTAACGAGAAGAGGCCGAACAGAAGTTTGGGAGCTGAGATGAACTCTGTGCCAGCTTGCCTGCTACTGTTACCGCTGCTGTGTAAGGGCTGCTGGAGGAGAAAGCTGCTTGTGTTGTGATTAGATTGGCTTTTTATGTCACCTTTATTTATTTGGGTTGCTCTGTTCAGCTGAAATGAAATGTCCTCTTTGAATACAAAAAAACAGAGGTTGTAAATCTCCCCTCACTGCATCAAGAGCTCTGTGTGTGTGGCTGTGTGTGGCTGTGTGTGGCTGTGTGTGGCTGTTTGTGTGTGGCTGTGTGTGTGTGGCTGTGCTGTTAACTTCCTACAACAACTAAAGCACACAGAGCCCTGCAGAGGTGGGAGTAGGTGCAGAATAAAATGAAACTGGGATGTGTGGGTGTGTGTGTGTGTGTGTGTGTGTGTGTGTGTGTGTGTGTGTGTGTGTGTGTGTGTGTGTGTGTGTGTGTGTGTGTGTGTGTGTGTGTGTGTGTGTGTGTGTGTGTGTGTGTGTGTGTGTGTGTGGAGGTGAGTACATGGGGAGTTAGCTGCAGTAGAGAAAGCATTTTGACATCTGTTTTTCTCAACTATAGCAAGATAAGTTTTTTTTCCCACATAGGGTAAAAGGTTGGTAAAGAAAGGACCATAAACACACTTGTAAAACCAAGACTATGTAACTTTTTAGAGACTAAACACTTTCTTCCTCTTACAATTGAAAAGATACATTCATTAACAATAAAACACACCCTTGCTCTAAGGAAAAACTGAGGCTTGTTCACACTGCCTGCGTCAGTCGTGCATCTCACGTGTGTCTCAGCAGCGACGCTTCACTAGAGAGTCAAGGTCTGACCTATATTTTCTGTGAGCTATGCACGCTTCCCAGCAAAAACAAACAGCGAAAAAGTCTGTTCATATTCATATCGACAATATACCAGCAACATATACACCTTTCACTACAGTTTCAATGTCTATATCTGTAGAATATATCACAGACATGGAAAAAATATGTATTTTTTAAACTCAACACCTCCTGTATCTGTTTCTGTGGACAGAATCCATTCACATGTTCACAGACGCAGCCGTCACGTGCCATAGCTGCCACTCGAGTGTGAACCAGGTGTGATGAGTTTTGTTGCTACAACCTACTTGGTCTGCAGTGTTTGCAAAGTTTAGATACAAATTGCTATATACCTGACACTAGGGACTGTTTGAAAATGATTAGGGGAAGGTGTTTAAAGAAGGAGGGTTTTGTATTTTTCATCCTATAACAGCTCACACCTTCACTTTATTTTGCAACAGAAAGCAGAACTACATTAAGGTAAAATTGCGTATTTCTCATATACATTGACACTTCAAATAAATGAATTGATAAACGAGGCACATATTTTTGTTATGTTTACCATAATGTGGCAATTCCTAATTCCACTTTTGTAGTTGAATTTGGTGGCTATGGTTAAAAACTGGGTCATGTGTTACTTTTTGGTGTGCATTGCTGTCTAACAGTGTATTTTTTAATTCTACCCCCAGGCATCACCAGTCAGAGTCAGATATGTAAAAATCCTCCCCAAATGCCTTAAACTCATACCAAATAAACCTAACTGGATTAGTAAAGACATGCTACTGTGCATGTCTCCTTTTTTGCCAGAAACAGCTGAAGTGGATAGAGGAAGTAGATCAAGTAGTTAACAACACAAATAGCTTCGGAAACAGTATCCACAGATAAGTTGAGCTGAACTACCGCCAAGCACTGCAAATTGTAGTTCAAAAACACACACAGGGAAACGAGTATCGAGCACCAGCCACAAGCTCCGGTGTCAAAGTTATGTAAGCACAGAAGTGATGCTGTGACAGTCTGTACTGCAGTAACAGAAACTGACTCACTGTCTCTTTGTCATTGTTTCTGAGCAGTACAACAGTGAACGTCTCTCTCAGCCATTTGTCTGTCCATATCTGAAAAAATGACTGTCCAAAACCAAATTTTGATTACTGTATGAAGCCACTGTCACTGAATCAACCTTTTTTGTTGAAACGTAGCTGTCTTTTCATTCCTCTGTACGTGTGTGTCTCAGTCCCGTCTCCCTCTGTGCTGTAGCAAAATGTTCTGATGGTTCTCAGCGTCATTCCTCTCAGTGTGACGTCTAACCTCTGTGTGTGCGTGTGCGCCTTTATGCAATGTGTAGGGTTACCAAAGACAAATGCAGCCTTTCCCATATGTGACATAGAGGTGAGATATGTACACTGTAAGGACAGAACACACACACATACACACTTTTCGAACTTTAATCACCCACCTGCACAAATCTCATCAAACTGCTCTCAACATCTATCTGTGGGCACTCACGCCCTCTCTCTCTCTCTCTCTCTCTCTCTCTCTCTCGCTCTCTCTCTCTCTCTCTCTCTCTCTCTCTCTCTCTCTCTCTCACTTACACACACAGCATTCAGAGTGAAGTGAGGCTGTAATGGCTCTGTCTAATTACAGCCTTTGGTTTTCTTGGATTCAGCCTGGTGATTTTCAAAGGGGAGATTGCTCTCTCCCTCTCCTTCTTGTAATGAATGGTTCTTTTATTCGACATGGCAGCCATCTTGTCTTGTTGCTCCTTTTCATGCAGAAACTTCTGGAATGCTCTCATTCCAGCTGCTAAACTTTTGAAAGTAAGGTGCGAGGAAAGTGTCTGGTATCAGGAAGTCCATGTTGGCAGGTCACTAGATGAAGCAGCTATAAATACTTTAATTATATGTGTTTTGGTACAGTGCAAAACGGAGGACAAAGAATGAAGTGAAAAGGCTGAAATGTTGCTCTTTGTAAAGCTCACTGCACCTGTTGTGAAGGAGATGGGTGTTAGCTGGGGTACTGCGGCAAAGTTCTTGTGTATTCGTAACTGTTTGGCACAC